AAGAAAAAAGAATAATCTTAGGTTAGTGATTATATCTTTGATTAAGCTTTCTCTTGGGTTAGATTAGACAGTACAGTACGAATTAGAGTTGAGAAAATTACAAAAAGATCCATAGTTTGAGAGACAGATCATGCCATGATGAAGAGAGTTAATGTAAACACACTCTCCATTATTATTTATTTTTATTAGAGAAAATAAAAAGGAGGCTGAGATCAAGGCCAGTATAATAGCTATAGATATCAGATTTAATGGAGGTGAGAGGCCAAGATAAGGTAATAGGGATGCCAACCACTCTCGGCTATAATCCCCCCAATAGGGACTCTTCTTCCTCCAAGCTCTCTTCTTCTCCAGCCCTACCCTCAACTGCTAACAGCACAATCTTCATCAACCCTCTTCAAACCCTAGACCCCCATCCTCCTCCTCATCATCAGCAGCCTCATCAATTGAATCTTTCACCACACAAATCATCAAGAAGAGATTCTGAGCAAAACCCAGATCCAATCTCATCTCCAATTGTTGTCACCCCAAGTGCAACAACAACATCAATTCCTGGTGGATCAAATTTCAAAGCACCACCAGCTCAACCACCATCACCACCACCGCAGAAAGTTAGATATAGGGAATGCTTGAGAAACCACGCAGCCAGCAGCGGCGGCCACGTGCTCGATGGCTGCGGAGAATTCATGCCAAGTGGAGAGGAAGACATCCCAGAAGCACTAAAATGTGCAGCTTGTGAGTGCCATAGAAATTTCCACAGAAAAGAGATCGAAGGCGATCATTTGCCAAATAATTACTATGTTGTTAACCACCAAAAACACACCATTAGCGGTAGAGATTCAGCAACTAGAGTATTGCCACTCCCTCCACCCCCACCGCCTCCTGTTCATCATTCAGCTGCGGGGGGCCCAGTTCCCCCGATGATGATGGCTTTTGGAGGTGGTGGTGGCGGAGGGGGGGCTGATGAGTCCTCGAGCGAGGATCTCAACATGAATAATTTGTTTCGGGCAACTTATGCGGCAGGCCAGCAGGCAGCGGGGTCAAAGAAGCGGTTTAGGACTAAGTTCAGTCAGGAGCAGAAGGAGAAGATGATGGAGGTTGCTGAGAAGTTAGGGTGGAAGATCCAGAAGCATGATGAGCAAGAAGTGCAGAAGTTGTGTTCTGAAGTGGGTATAAAGAGGCAGGTGTTCAAGGTGTGGATGCACAATAATAAACAAGCCATGAAGAAGAAGCAAATGTAAGCCAAACTTCAATACATTGATTTGTGACTGGGAAAAGAGATCAATATAATCAGTGAATAATTAGATCAGATAATTTGTATGTGCACATAAATATATATATTTATATAGTCAAATATGTAGCTAGCTAGAGAGAGAGGAGATAGCTAGAGAAAATCAAGCACGCACTCCTTTTTTTCTTTGTTTTTTTGCTTCTTAATTTAACATTAGTCAAATATGTAGCTAGCTAGAGAGAGAGGAGATAGCTAGAGAAAATCAAGCACGCACTCCTTTTTTTCTTTGTTTTTTTGCTTCTTAATTTAACAAAAGCCTAGCTATTTGATGCTCATCTTCTTTCTCTGCGGTTTGTTTGTTTGGTTGCTTTCGAAAAAAACATAAAATTGCAAAAAAAAATACCAACAATTTTTTCTTGTGCTTGAAATGTTTGGCATCGAGCTCTCGCATCGCATGCACCTTTTCTTTTGATTTCCAATCACTATGCTTGTGCTTTTTCACTAGGGTAAAAGATGTAAAAGGAAGAAAAAGGAAAGCAAAAGAGGAAATGAGATGTCAGCTTTTTTGTCGTGGTGTTATGTGATTTTCTCATATTATTGTTTCATTTCATGTATGATTTTCTTCTTTTAATTTTTTGCATCCAGTTCGTCTTCATGAATCATACCGGTGTGTCTTCGCATGCATTACAATATTTTCCTGTTTCAAAACATATGTATATATATATATATATATTTTTTTTTTATTTTTTTTTTTTGGTTATAATCGAATCGATCTATAAATATAATTTCGAATATGTTATTAATTTGTAATTTGATGCAGAAACAAATTAAGCAGGTCTTGTTCTCAGTTTTTGGCGTTGCATATTCATTAATATCGTATGGGTGATCACAGTCACGTCTGCTATATATTTTCAGACCAAGGCTAGCTCTCCCATAATATATATATCTCATGAAATTGACGATCTTTAGGGCTATATATATATATACGTACTCTAAATACCCAGCAGATAATTTGTGCCGAAAAATTATGTAGTATACAGATCGATTTCTAATTATTTTATTGGTAGGCTAGAAGGCTAGAAGGCTAGAAAGGGGACAAGGCTTGGGTCAAACTTTCTCTGAGCAGGCCTATATGCAGAATATTAATGATGAAGACAAACAAGAGTAGCTAGCACATGCATAAATATCAGAGGCCTTGGCTTGGGGCATAGAGATTTACTAGAAATGAAATGACACAGCGAGACTAGCTTAATTCAAGCAATTCTTGACCCGTATTCATAGAAAACAAGAAACATAGCAACATTGATGTAAAGAAACAAAACTGTAAGGGCGAAGTAAGAGAAAACAAGAAACATTTAGCAACATTGATCATAGAACTTACAGAGATTCCTAGCTACTCAAAAGAAACATAAACTCATCATCAAACATGGCTTCATGGAGCAAGCATGCAATCGGCCTCCTTATATCTCTGAACCAGCATTCCTCATGGTAGCGCCGAGATCTCCTGCAGCCTGCGAGGCACTCTCCTTTGCAGCCTCATAGTTATGCTTGGCATGTCCAGTCATGCAGTCCTTAGCTGACTTGTATGACTCCCCAACCTGTTGTTTTGCTTCATCGTATGAATTGGCTGCTCTTTCCGTCCCAGAATCAATTCCTCCCGCTACCATTTCTTTGGCATCGTAGGCCTTATTGGAGGCCATGTTCATTCTCTCCTTGGCTCCATCATAGACATTGGCAGTTCTTTCTTTTCCATATTCCATTGCATCATAAGCCTTATCAGAAGCCGAACCAATTGCCCCTCTGGCTGCCTCTTTGGCATCGTAGGCCTTATCTGAGGCCATGTTCATTCTCTCCTTGGCTCCATCATAGGCATTGGCAGTTATTTCTTTTCCGTATTCCATTGCGTGATGAGTGTTATCAGAAGCCGAACCCATAGCCCTATTCATTGTATTCTTTGCTCCATCATAGGCATTGGCTGCTCTGTCCATTCCAGAACCCATGGCCCCTCTCACTGTCTCTTTGGCGTCGTAGGCCTTATTAGATACCATGTTCACTCCCTCCTTGGCTCCATCATAGGCATTGGCAGTTCTTTCTTTTCCATATTCCATTGCATCATAAGCCTTATCAGAAGCTGAACCCGTAACCCTATTCATTGTATTCTTCGCTTCATCATAGGTATTCGCCGCTCTGTCCTTTCCAGAACCAATTGCCCCTCTGGCTGCCTCTTTGGCATCGGAGGCCTTATCGGAGGCCATGTTCACTCCCTCCTTGGCTCCATCATAAGCATTGGCAGTTCTTTCTTTTCCATATTCCATTGCATCATAAGCCTTATCAGAAGCCGAACCCGTAACCCTATTCATTGTATTCTTCGCTTCATCATAGGTATTCGCCGCTCTGTCCTTTCCAGAACCAATTGCCCCTCTGGCTGCCTCTTTGGCTTCGTATGCCTTATCGGAGGCCATGTTCACTCCCTCCTTGGCTCCATCATAGGCATTGGCAGTTCTTTCTTTTCCATTTTGCATTGCGTCATGAGCCTTATCGGAGGCCATGTTCACTCCCTCCTTGGCTCCATAATGGGCATTGGTAGTTCTTTCTTTTCCATATTCCATTGCGTCATGAGCCTTATCAGAGACCGAACCCATAGCCCTATTCATTGTATTCTTTGCTCCATCATAAGCATTCGCTGCTCTGTCCATTCCAGAACCCATTGCCCCTCTCACTGTCTCTTTGGCATTGTGGGCCTTATCCGAGGCCGTGTTCACTTTCTCCTTGGCTTCATCATAGGCACCGGCAGTTCTGTCTTTTCCATATTCCATTGCATCATAAGTCTTATCAGAAGCCGCGCCTGTAGCCCTATTCATTGTATTCTTTGCTTCATCGTAGGCATTCGCTGCTCTATCCAATCCAGAACCCATTGCCCTTGTCACGGTCTCTTTGGCATTGTCAACTGTATCAGTAGGCATCCTTATAGAGGGATCAAAGTTTTCATGAACAGAATCGGTGTCCGCTGCCATTTGGGAAATCAGAGAAGCATATGTTGAGAATACATAAAGTAAAACCCAGAAGCATGAAATCAAATACTTGTTTGAAGAACTAATTGACTTATTAATTACTTCATCTGTGAAAGAATAAGGTAGTAATTAATAATTACAAGATCCAAATGAGCTCGTTCTTAATCTTTCTGTAGCCACAGAGGCTGCATCCCCAGCTTTGTCCCTCATATTCTTAGCCTTCTCTTTTGCATTTTCCTGGCCGAATCCTAACCCCCTGAATGGCACCATCAAACAACATAAATGAGCAAAAACCCTTAACAACTCTTAACACAACTACTCGTTTAAGGATCAAACGCAAAAGCTCAAAACTTAAGTTGTTAGCAGAAAGACTCAGCCTAGATTTAGAACATTTAGCTCAACCAATGTAAGACTAGTGCTTGGCATTTCCTTCACTTATGTGACATTTCCTTTTTGCTATTTGTTGGACTTTTCTTTTTCTTGTATAGTAGTTGCCTTGATCTCGGATATGGTTAGTTGCGAATAGGTTACATGAAAAAAAAAATAGCCACATAGATTAAGAACTTAAAACTGATTCCACAACGAAAAAAAGACTTAAAAACGATTTGGACCGCTATGTCGTCATTTATAAGGTAAATGCTAGGTATACCACTTTTTTATACCACAGTGTATCACCCCTCTAATAGAGGTGGACTCCATTGTATTGACGAGCTGCACCTCTCTCTATTAGAGAGATGATACACAATGTGGTATAAAAATGTGGAATGCCTAGCCACATTACCCCATAATTAAGGCCAAATCAAATGAGGCTTATGAAAAGAAAACTTAAAATCCTGTCTCCGCCCTTACCCCATAATTAAGGCCAAATCAAATGAGGCTTATGAAAAGAAAACATAAAATCCTGTCTCCGCCCTTGGTTCCCTCCATATTTCTTCATCCCTCATCTCTCCCATATGCTTTCCCTTTACTCTATAGCTAAAAAAGCTGAAAAATTACAAACTAAAAACGAAATCACAATCAAACGGACCCTGATATAATACATCACATCACATAATTTTTTTTTTGTTTCCAAAATGAGCAAGCATATATGAACAGTTACTAATAATTCACAAACAAAATGCATGGTGAAGGGGAAGAAAGCAAAAAGTTGAAGGGAAAAAAAAACAGAGTGAATGATTTTGTAACAAATTACTCTGCGATTTTGCCGAAGGTACGATCAACCCACGAGTCGGTGTTTTCCTTGGCAGCTTTGAAGGTCTCGTGCGTTTTGTGCTGGGCTGTTCCAGCAGCCAAGTTCAGCGTCTCCTTGGCGTCCTGGCCCCAAGTCCCTGCAGACATAGCCAGCCATAACGCCAACAACAAAAACAAAAACACTCCTCTCTTCCCCATTTTTACAACTCAATATTTTTTGGGTTACAGAGAATGTGAAAAACCCAGTTGAGATTTGAGAAAATTAAAGCACGGATATATGGGACCGTGAGATTTTCGAACGTCTCATTATACGCCTATGAGTATGAGGTATTTGTATATATGCGCCACTGACTGCAAAACGTTTGCTTCTTCTTCTGTTGTGGAAAATCGGAGAGATGTTTGGGCTTCAGACTGGTTTCTCAACGTGGCGCCTTTCGGGTCAACGTGGCAGTTATTCAGACCGTTATAGAAGGAGGCCATATCTGCCTTCCCTCCACGTGTTGCTTGGTCAATGTGTTGGCCGCACTTCGCGTGCCTTAAATGTAAATTTGCTTAGTCATATGACGATAAGGGGGGACAAATGTCTAAAGAAATTATTTTCATGAGTCATAATTTTTTTTTTTTTTGGGAAAACTAGTCTCTCCGCACACGCTTTCGCATCTATGAGAGGCTTTTCATTTTTTTTATTTATTTATTTATTTTATTTTAGAATTAAAAAAGACTAGCTCCTTGGCACATGCTCATGCATATGTCAATTAGTTTTTTATTATTTTATTTTATTTTATTTTTAGAATTAAGAAAAGATAACATGGATAGTTATGTTCCATAAAAGTAGGACCTATTATTTGATTTTTATTTTATTTTTTAATATGAAAAAAATGTGAATTTACCATATTATCGTCATTTAATTAATAATTTCAATTCTTAATATTTGAATTAACCAATGGCATTTTATGGTATTTTGAATGTTTCAATATTCTCTGCCTTTTGCTTTATATATATAGATAATGGATAGTCTTGTTTCATAAAAAGAGGATCATTATTTGATTTTTATTTAAATTTTAAATGTTTTTAATATGAAAAAGTGTGAATTTACCATATTATCATCATTTAATTAATAATTTCAATTCTTAGTGCCCATTTGGCATTGCTTATTTGGGGTGATAAGTGATTTTTTTAAAATTTTGGGAAGCCCATCCCGTTTGGTAAACTATGAGAAAATAACTTATTGTTAAAAATTGTTGTGAGAGAAAGCTATAAGGGAAAGTAGCTAGTGAGGTGCTTTCATTTTCTAATTATGTGGGAATCAGTTTCGAAGAAAGGCTGGGTTTAATGATTATACGGGAATCATTTTCTGATTATGAAGGAATCAGTACCAACAACAGTTTTAACAAAAAGTTTACCAAATGCCAAACTGTTTTCTCTCACAGCAAATCTGACAGCGATTATTTTCACAACACAGTAATGCCAAATTGGCCCTTAATGTTTGCTTTAACTAAGGGCATTTTTTGGTGTTTTGAATGTTTCACAATTCTCTGCCTTTTGCTTTATATTTTTGGAAAATATATTGTATTTTTTTTTGGGTGGTGAAATAAAAGAAATTGTATTAATATTATAAAATGTGTACAACAAATAACAAGAATAGTCAATCCACAACCCAAACATGATGATCAAGAACAAGAGCAAAACTTTAGTTAAAAGATTTGTGGCCTAAATACAATCACAAGGTACAAAAAAAAAAAGCAAAACTACATAAACAGATGCATAATGGTAAGCAACAACAGCGTGGATCTGAGACTGAAAAAACAAAATAAATATAAGTGCATAAAAAAGAAAAAACAAGAGAGACGTGGGCAAAGCCAATATCAAGGCCCATTACATAATAAACAAAATTAAGGAAGACGAAGAAAGAAAAACTACTCCTCGGACCGGAAAATGACGTGTCAGCGGAATGGTAACAACTCACACTTATAGTTGAAGTTGAAAAAAAAAACCAATGGAACTGCTAGCGACCGCTCCTAACCTTGGACAAAGACTAAACAAAACAGAGAGAGATAAGAGAAAACACATTTGTCCAAAGATCCACAAAGAGTTTGAGAGTGATTCTGAATAGGCCAAAATCACTTATGAGAAGAAGTACCTCCCATGTACTTCTCCATAAAATCACTTAAAATTACTTAAAGTGATTATATAGAGAAGTGATTCTCTATAAAAGAGATTATTGGTCTATCCAGAATCACTCCCAAACGAGCTCTTAATTAACAGTAAAATGATGAAGAATTGTGTAAGACAACACTTAGCCCACAAACGTAAATGGGATGGAACAAATGAGTTACGAAGAACCAAGAACAACTACAAACAAAAACAACAGAAAAATTGTGAAAAAATAAATTTGAGAACTCACTATGCCCAAAATAAGTGTCAAATTGCCACATCAGCTATCAAATCTAAATTTAACACTTTGCATGTGACATCTCCCTTATAGATGCTCTTAAAACACTCAAAATTCTTGGCTAGGCACTCATTTATAGGAAAAATACTTCTAACTAATAATTCAAAGGATTTTCAACCGTTTTACCCTTCGAACTATGACCCTAATCAAACTTAACCTCTCGAACTAAAAAGTCAACCAATGTAGCACTTGAATTCATTAAAACAACTAATTTAGCACTTATTGTTAAAGTTTTCGAATTTCATCCACTTTTCCATCTAAAAAGTCATGTGTCTTCCACGTGACTTACTATTTGATTTTTTAATCACTATTATAAAATCTAAAATATTCAAAAACTAGAAAGAAAAATAAATAATAAAAAGGGAACCACCATCAAAGCCACAACAACAACCACCACCCTCAACCCAACCCACCCCAACACCCTAATAACCTCTCTCTCTCTCTCTCTCTCTCTCTCTCTCTCTCACGTGACATCTACCTTAGGTTATATTCTTACAAGTTTATGACGTGGACTTATAGACGAAATTGACAATTGTGTAATTATTAGTTTTTGAGTACAAACAATAGTCTAAATTAGAGGTGGGTGTGGTCCAGTCCGATTTCCACCTCACACTGGAATTGCAACCGATGCAATTTGGTTTGATTTTGGTAAAAAAAAAATAAGAAACTGATCAGTTTGGTTTAAACCGATTCATGTAAGGTTTCTGGAATTTTTGGTTTTGGATCGGATATGTATATTTTTTTAATAGATTATTTATTTTTTTATTATACAAATTTCAACTAAAATTTTATTCTTTGGGCTTAAAAATTCACAAATTACCCAATTTCATGCAAAAAGAAATTATTGGACTTAGAAAAGAGAGATGTTTTGAAGTTGGGCTTGGGGAAATATTAGTTATGGGATTAGAAATCTAGTATTGGGTCTTCAAGTCGAGGTGCTTTTTTCACTAGGCTAGACCCCGTTGGCAACAATTGTGTTTAAAAATGATGAACATTAAACGTGAAAATGTTAAATTATTTATACGAGTAATAACTCTAGAAAAGTAAAAACTCAAAAGGGAATAATAGAGACTCGGGTAATGACCTAATAGTAATGGATAATGCTCTAAACTACTCTTATCAATAAACAAAAATTGGGGAAAAACAATTATAAAAAAAAAGTCACAGTATCTGTGTAAAGACTATAGCCGTGCGACTATACTATTTATTAAAAAGAATTTTAAAAAAAACCCCTAACAACGCCGCGAGGCTATACTCTTTTTTAATAAATTTGAGAACTCACTATGCCCAAAATAAGTGTCAAATTGCCACATCAGCTATCAAATCTAAATTTAACACTTTGCATGTGACATCTCCCTTAGAGATGCTCTTAAAACACTCAAAATTCTTGGCTAGGCACTCATTTATAGGAAAAATACTTCTAACTAATAATTCAAAGAATTTTCAACCGTTTTACCCTTCGAACTATGACCCTAATCAAACTTAACCTCTCGAACTAAAAAGTCAACCAATGTAGCACTTGAATTCATTAAAACAACTAATTTAGCACTTATTGTTAAAGTTTTCGAATTTCATCCACTTTTCCATCTAAAAAGTCATGTGTCTTCCACGTGACTTACTATTTGATTTTTTAATCACTATTATAAAATCTAAAATATTCAAAAACTAGAAAGAAAAATAAATAATAAAAAGGGAACCACCATCAAAGCCACAACAACAACCACCACCCTCAACCCAACCCACCCCAACACCCTAATAACCTCTCTCTCTCTCTCTCTCTCTCTCTCTCTCTCTCACGTGACATCTACCTTAGGTTATATTCTTACAAGTTTATGACGTGGACTTATAGACGAAATTGACAATTGTGTAATTATTAGTTTTTGAGTACAAACAATAGTCTAAATTAGAGGTGGGTGTGGTCCAGTCCGATTTCCACCTCACACTGGAATTGCAACCGATGCAATTTGGTTTGATTTTGGTAAAAAAAAAAAAAGAAACTGATCAGTTTGGTTTAAACCGACTCATGTGAGGTTTTTGGAATTTTTGGTTTTGGATCGGATATGTATATTTTTTTAATAGATTATTTATTTTTTTATTATACAAATTTCAACTAAAATTTTATTCTTTGGGCTTAAAAATTCACAAATTACCCAATTTCATGCAAAAAGAAATTATTGGACTTAGAAAAGAGAGATGTTTTGAAGTTGGGCTTGGGGAAATATTAGTTATGGGATTAGAAATCTAGTATTGGACTTAAATAATAATAATAATAATTATTATATAAAAATACGTAGTTGGTCTAGTTCGGTTTTGTAAGATGTGAAACCGGCACGAAAATCAGTTTGAATTAGTCCGGTTTGGTTCGATGCCGATTTGTTGACTTTCTGGTTTTTTCCGGTTTTTTCTTTCTGGTGCGGCTCGATGTTCCGGTTTTCCAATCTCGATGCCCACACTTAGTCTAAACTACAGGGGAGGGAGATTTCACACACACACACACACACAACTATGATGTTGTGGGGATTTGAACATGAGACTTATGGTCTGCAAGTCAAGGTGCTTTTTTCACTGGGCTAGACCCCGTTGGCAACAATTGTGTTTAAAAATGATGAACATTAAACGTGAAAATGTTAAATTATTTATACGAGTAATAACTCCAGAAAAGTAAAAACTCAAAAGGGAATAATAGAGACTCGGGTAATGACCTAATAGTAATGGATAATGCTCTAAACTACTCTTATCAATAAACAAAAATTGGGGAAAAACAATTATAAAAAAAAAGTCACAGTATCTGTGTAAAGACTATAGCCGTGCGACTATACTATTTATTAAAAAGAATTTTAAAAAAAACCCCTAACAACGCCGCGAGGCTATACTCTTTTTTTTATATAAAAAAAAAATAAGGAGTAGCCATACTATTTATATTTTAAAAACCCGCCGAGCGTTTAGGGCATGTCTTTGTGAAAAGAGTATAGCCGCTCGGCTATACTCTTTTTTATTAAAAAAAAATCCGGAGTATAGATGCTTGGCTATACTATTTTAAAAAATATAAAATATAAAATAAGAAGACCCGCGCGTAGTGCGTGTTTTTTTGTAAAAAGAGTATAGCCGCGCGGCTCGACTCTATACAACACTATAGCCATCCGGCTATACTCTATAAATAGAAGTTTTTTAAAAGTATATCCGCGCGGCTATCCCATTGAATAATCTGAATTTCGCTTTTTTAATTACTTTAAGTAGTATTTAAGTTTGAATTATTATTTACTTAGTAAATAATTAGTATTTAAATATTTTATTAAATTTTATTTTTATTCGATAATATGTGAGTATTATGTGTATAATACGTAAATTTTATGTGTATTATTGAAAATTTGTAAAAAAACAAGTGTATTAAACATGAAAAGTACATATGTACAAGTACAATATGAGTATTAAACGTGAAAATATTAAATTATTTATACGGATAATAACTCTAAAAATGTAAAAAACTCAAAAGGGGACAATAGAGACTCGGGTAATGACCTAATAGTAATGGATAATGCTCTAAACTACTCTTATCAATAAACAAAAATTGGGGAAAAACAATTATAAAAAAAAAGTCACAGTATCTGTGTAAAGACTATAGCCGTGCGACTATACTATTTATTAAAAAGAATTTTAAAAAAAACCCCTAACAACGCCGCGAGGCTATACTCTTTTTTTTATATAAAAAAAAAATAAGGAGTAGCCATACTATTTATATTTTAAAAACCCGCCGAGCGTTTAGGGCATGTCTTTGTGAAAAGAGTATAGCCGCTCGGCTATACTCTTTTTTATTAAAAAAAAATCCGGAGTATAGATGCTTGGCTATACTATTTTAAAAAATATAAAATATAAAATAAGAAGAACGGCGCGTAGTGCGTGTTTTTTTTTAAAAAAGAGTATAGCCGCGCGGCTCGACTCTATACAACACTATAGCCATCCGGCTATACTCTATAAATAGAAGTTTTTTAAAAGTATATCCGCGCGGCTATCCCATTGAATAATCTGAATTTCGCTTTTTTAATTACTTTAAGTAGTATTTAAGTTTGAATTATTATTTACTTAGTAAATAATTAGTATTTAAATATTTTATTAAATTTTATTTTTATTCAATAATATGTAAGTATTATGTGTATAATACGTGAATTTTGTGTGTATTATTGAAAATTTTGTAAAAAATAAGTGTATTAAACATGAAAAATACGTACATACGTATACAATATGAGTATTAAATAGAATATGAGTATTATAAAAAGCCTATAGCCGCGCGGCTATACTGGATAAATAGAATATTTCAACACTATAGCCGAGTTTTTTAAACATTTAGCCGCGCCGCTATACCCATTTAAATATTTTATTAAATTTTATTTTTATTCGATAATATGTGAGTATTATGTGTATAATACGTAAATTTTATGTGTATTATTGAAAATTTGTAAAAAAACAAGTGTATTAAACATGAAAAGTACATCGCAGCTTCACGGATCATCTCCGTACCTTTCTCTAGTTTGTCTGCTTCAAGATACGTCAAAGCTAATTGGATCATCTCTTCAGCAGCGGCTGCTTTATCTTTTATTTCGTCACTTTGACCAACATACAGTACAATTCCCTGCACAATATCTATAGCTTTCGCTACTTGGCGTTGTTCAAGATAGGTTAAAGCTCCTTGCAGAAACGAATCAACAAGGGATGCTTTATTTACTCCTGCTGCTACTTTATCCTTTTCATCCTTTTCAAGATACTTCACTCCTCTCAACTTAGCTTCCTTAGCTTCTGCTTCTTTAAAGACTTTATTTGCTGCTTTGACATCCTCATCGCTTTCAAGATACTCTATAGCTTCTTGGATTATTTTTAGCGCTTTCTCTGATTTCTCTTCTTCAAGATAGCCAAAAGCTCCATTGAGCAATTGTTCAGCTGTGGCACGTTTATCTTTTAATGTATTATCCTGAGCAATAAACTGTTGCACCCCTTGAATAACGTCTTTAGCTTTGACCAAAGAATTTGCATGAAGATAGGACATAGCTCCCTTTAGAACCTCTTCAACAAAATGTGCTTTTTGAAGTCCTATTTCCGCATTACCTTTTTCAAGATACTTCGCTCCTTTCCCCTTACCAATTGCTGCTTTGTAATCCTCGTCGTTTTCAAGAACCTTCGCAGCTTCACGGATCATCTCCGTACCTTTCTCTAGTTTGTCTGCTTCAAGATACGTCAAAGCTAATTGGATCAGCTCTTCAGCAGCGGCTGCTTTATCTTTTATTTCGTCACATTGACCAACATACAGTACAATTCCCTGCACAATATCTATAGCTTTCGCTACTTGGCGTTGTTCAAGATAGGTTAAAGCTCCTTGCAGAAACGAATCAACAAGGGATGCTTTATTTACTCCCGCTGCTACTTTATCCTTTTCAAGATATGTCACTCTTTTCCCTTTCTCTTCATTGTTGTCTTCATCATCGCCTTTAAGATACAGCACAGCGCCTTTCACCACGTTTTCTGCTTTTTCTACCATATCTTGCTCAAGATACTTGATAGCTTCTTTCATGAGCTCTTCAAGTTTGGCTGCCTTATCTTTTATTGTGTTATCATGATAAAGAAACTCCATAGCTCCTTTCATCAGCTCTTCAGCTTTGGCTGTTTGATGTTTTTCAAGAGAGTATATAGCTCCTTCTAAAAACTTTTGAACGAAGGCTGCTTTGTTCGCTCTTTCCGCGGACTTAGAGCCTGCTTCCCCACCTTTGAGTCCAAGTCCCCTAAAGAACACAACACAACGTTAATGATCAATAAGCATTCAGAAAACAAAGTAAAACAACCATTATTTTCATCAACTATAAAATCTAAGAAACAGAGTATATTGGAAAGGAAACATAAATTGGTTAAAAGTGATTGGTTTGGACGTTTACCAATCTATAGTACCTGGTACATTGTCGATATTCGGTCCATGTCAATTGTTATCACATCAACACAGAATTGGCAATTAACAAAAATATTGACAATGTACCAGACCCAGTAGCTTGGTTGTTAGATTTTTCCCATGAATGAAAATGCATGGTTGTTTAATTTAGAAGGGAAATCAAAGGAGGGGATGGTTCAATTTCATTATATGCACACACACAAAAAGGAAGAGACTTGAAAGTAAATAAGAAAAAGAAAAGATGAAGAAATTACTCTGTGAGCTTGTCACGGGCCCAGCCAGTCCATGAATCACTGTTTTCGGCGTTCTGATCCTCACTCAAAGTCCCCACCAACATAGCCAGCCATAGCACCATCAACAACGCTGCTCTCTTCCTCATCTTTCAATTTCTCTTTCGCTCTTTCTCTCTGAACAACACAAACTTGTTTTTTTTTCTTTTCTTTTTTGCCTATGAAGTGTATGTTTGATGAAGTGTGTATATATATGCGTCGGGTCATAGTGGCAGTTACTCAGACCGTTAGAAAAGGGAGCGATGCAGTATTGCTGCCTTGGCTCTACCTGTTGCTTTGACCAAAGCAGCTTTGGCCGCATCTCCCTCTGCGCCTTAAATTTGCAGTCTGACAAATTCTCTTGGTTGTTCTTGCTAAGCGGGATGGTGAGAATGTTTGGCCTTAATTGCATTTTGCGACAAGGGTTTGAAGGTGACTTGACTGGGGGCATTATTATAATTTACACTCACCAAATTTATTTATCAAATTTTCTTATTCACCAAATTACCTGCCTGTCATTTACTCAAATCTGAACCACTAGCTTCTTTAAAACAAGACTGTACAATGTATATTAGATAAAGTTGGTGAATACATATGGTCAAAAATTAAATTTTGATAAAAAGGGTTCGAGTTCTTCATGAAGCTCCACGGCTATGTATATAATGCTCAAAGGCTAACTTTGTCATTTTGAGAAATTTTGAATTCTAATGTTCAAACTTCCATGTAATGAAAAAATAAAAATATATAACTAGTTTGTATAGTCTTGATTTTTTGGCTAATAATGTTCATTTTAATTTATATATGTGGACATTAGCACCTCCAAAGGATGGTTTGTTAGGAATTGGGGAAAGAAGAGAGAGAGAAAGATATAGGGGCTTTCATCAAAAAAAAAAAAAGATATAGGGGCTTAGAGTAAGATTCACTTTGAAGCAAAATGAGAAATGAGAGTAAAACTGTTGTAAGTTAAGAAGAGAGTAAAAGTGGGGATGACTAGCCCAAGGAAACATGCTTCATCAATTAACAAAGACTATTGAATGAATGACATATTCCAAAATCATGGAAAATGTGAAACATAAATCGACACGACAAAAATTTCTACCATATGGGATTTTGATGGATGTTAAATCCCTACTTCTCTATCCACTCAAGCCAGGGTAAAAATTCCATAGCTAAGCTGGATGACCACCTTCAGCAGCTAGTTTTATTCTTTGGTGGTGCTCTGCAACTTTGTACTCTACAATTTCCTTGAACAATTGGGAATCCAATACACAGTCTGGGCGCCCATACACAGCTGCTTGGACACTGGCCATGAGTTTCGCTATCTCGCGGCCAGAGAACCCTTCTGTCTTACGGGCGGCCTCTCGGATCAAATCATCAGAGAAATCCTTTATCTCTATTTTTTGCGGCTTCTTCTTGACAAAAATGCCTGACTTAGAGCTTTCGCCTTCATCACAAAGGTATTTGTTCAAATAGAGCTTCAAAAGTTTAAATCGTTCCTCCTCTCCAGGGATTGGGAACTCAATCACTTCATCTATGCGGTCAGTGATAGCATTGTCAAGATCACCTGGCCTGTTTGTGGCAAGTACTAGAACTATGTCTCTTGACTGATCTCCAGTTCGGAAGAGCAATGCATTTAGAGCACTACGCTGAGATTCGCTCATGTGTGTACTGTTACGCCTGCATGGGAACATTCATTAGAGGCCTGCTGATTGAGCTTATATATATGACCGAAGCTATGAGGTAATGAAAATCTAGGTTGCACCCTCTGAAACTATAAACCATGGAAGTTAACTCCCAAGCTTTTTTTTTTTTTTTTTTTTAAAAAAAGCGTGCAACAGATGAAAAAACAGATAGCCTGAAAACTCGAACTTACTCGCATAGGAAAGCATCTGCCTCGTCAATAAAAAGCAGTAGACCTTTGTTTGATTTTTTTGCCCAATCAAATATCTGATGGATCTTAGTAACAGCCTGTGGGCCTAAGGGTGCAACATCCCCTCCGGTCATCATAGCATAATCCAAACCCTGCATTCGGAAGGATAAAAAACTGTCATGTTGAGAAGTTACAGTTTCCTTCAGAATAACTCCTGTTTATATATGGTTACAAACATAGTCATTTGTAATCCTAAGAATTTTGATCCAACAATAAAGTAATTCAATATATAAAACAAACAAAAAAATTGATGAAAATTAGCATTCATTTTAATTGATAACAAATTGAAGCTTTTAACTATTCGAACAGTTGCATTCATTTGACCTATAAAGATCTCCCCATGCACGGGTGCTGTCCCAGCGAGGCAGTAGAACATATAAAAGGGTTTAAGTAAGGCATATAAATGAGCACCAATGACAAAAGAAATAATGTAAGGCCATGAATCAGTGAAATACCGATTTTCGAGCTATTTCTCTGGCAACCATGGTTTTACCAGTGCCAGGGGGGCCATAAAACATCATGTTGCGAAAGGGAGCCTGGTGAGCCTTAGTGTTTGCTGTAGCTCGAGCAAGTAGTTCTATTCTCTTCTGCAACGAGGGATGGAGAACAATATTTGAAAGACCATTCTTGCCTTGCAGAGATCCAGATGCTGCAGCACCAGCACTATAATTTAAAACTTTATTCTTTGCTTTAGATATTATCTCTGAACCTGGAAATCTTGCAATGGATGATTCTCGAATCAGAGATGGCTGCCCCAGTATCCGGTTGATATAACCCCATATAACTCTAGAACCTTCTCTGTAGAAAAGAAAGGATGTCAAAAGACAATTAGTTGGCACATCCAATAAACAATACAGTCATCACAAACTACGGATGAAGAACTTGATATCATAATTCCATTAAAAGTTCATCACATCAACACAGTAAAAGGCATTACTGATTAACTTGACATCATCATTAAGAGAGAGACTGAAAGTTATCATCTATCCACCTGTGTAATTGGACACAAGAAATAGAAAGGTTGCAGTGCAACGATTACTACAAAGCTATAAAGTAGCATTTCTGGAAGGTACCAACTGGTTAGTTAGGATGTGTCTTGTGGTCACACAAGAGGTTGAATCTTGTCTACACCAAGGTTAAGCGGGTTTATTGGATGGGAGAGGGCTACCTCTCATTGTGCAGACTAGGTTCCTTGCCATTTTATATGGGGAGGTTTAGAAGTAGCAGAACGGACTGATAAACTCTGCTCCTTCAACATAAGACCCATGTGTATCCTAATTAAGTTGAAACATGCCAAAAAGAAGTAATACATAGGGTAGTTGGGTTTGAATGCAACGAAAGAACAGAATACGAACCTAGTCGTATAAACACCTGCAGCCAGTGCTGTGGCACCTCCAACGGTCATAACCAACTTATTCCTATCAGTCAACAAAGTTCTAAAACCCCCTGCAGATACCAGATGAGACAATTATACCATCAAACATTATCATGAAGTCAAAAATATGATATCAAACAATTGTGTTCCAACGAACTCAAGATAAAAGTGGCACTATTGCCACCACCAGAGAAATTTAAAAAGACAACATTTTACTCAATCTGTCTGAAGCAACAGTTGGTTATTCAAGTACATAATATGAGCCTCAGATTTTTTCCTATAAAATAAAACACAGCTACCAAATTTTGCATACCTTCAATGTGACTAAAAGCTGTATTGATTGCAGCAAGCCATTTTTCTTTTTCACCATTCATCCGCTCTATAAGCATTCTCCTGTTATGGTCCTCAGTCAATTTTGCTTCATGGGCCCGACCTTCAGCCTCTGCTATGGCCTTTACTCTAATGGTTTCTCGTTCTATTTCAGCTCTCTCTTTCTCGGTTTGACGCTGCTGAGCTTGGACCTGCTCCTCAGTAGCCTGTCTTGCTCGCTCTTTTCGCATAGAGGACTCTTCTTGCATCCTAGCCAACTCAACATTATGCTGCCTCTGGGCCTCATGATCTGTCTGCATTCAAGTAGACAATAAAGTAAGGTTTCAATAACCAGGAGTTAATAATTGAATATTAAAAGATAAAACAAACCTATCTTTTCTTGCTCCAGAATTAGAGAGTAGTTACAGACTTTACCAATGTTTGAGAATTTGTTAAACCAACTACTGACTTGACCAATTTTTTGGTAAGAGAGTAGCTACTCTCTTGATTATAAGCAAGACATGGCAGATTTATATGGATATATTCTCAAAATAGGCCCACCATCATTGAGAGCTAATAGTGACTCCCTTCAGTGGTAAGAACTTACAAAGTCTAAGTGCTAGATACCATAAATTCTTAGATAAAGAACACATAATTTATTCCACTGCTTGCACCTGTAATCTTTTCCTAGCCAGTTCATCTTCATAACGAACCATTTGTGCCTTTGCTTGTGCTTGTTGTTGCACTATATTTCGTTGTTCCTCAGCCATTTTCCTCTGCCTTTCCTGTCAATTAAAAAACTATGCAGTATAAGTTAAAATTCATAGAGGAAAGATAAGATACAGAAAACCACATTTATTCTCTCACAAGATTGATTAGCATGCTGGCTTTCACAATTTGCTAAACCTAAATGCTAAAAACCTAGAACATTATATGTTTCATTAATTGAAAAGAAATTACCTAACCCAAGGCACAACAAAGGAAAGGACTAGGAGCCAATCTCGTGTGATAGTTATGTTTGAAATAATAACACCACAAGATGACTAAAGTTCTAAGATGGATATAACTTACAATATCACTTTGAGCTTGTATTGCTTGATGATGATTCTTCTCTGCTTCTGACTCGGCAAGGCGAGTTTGCTCCTGCTTCCTCATCAGATCAAAGACCTGGAGAACAAGACCAAGTGACCAATTTAACACCTTTACCATACTCCATGTAAAGATTCATCTCAGATCATAATTCAGTTGCGTTGAAACCTCATGCAGAACAAAAAGAAAAACACATTTCAATTCATATGCTTCAATGGCTCCAACAACAACAAAGGTAGAGCCGTGGGCATAGTAATTGTAGGAACACATACAGATAAAACTAAGGACTCCTACCAAATGGCTACCGAAACACGTGAAGTTAAATTATAGAAACAAAAGGAACAGAAAATCAGGAATTAAGCATTCTGATTTCATCCCTCATTTCCTTCTTAGTGATACAATAGAGCCCTAAGACTAAAACAGTTGTATCTTTCTTCTATTTTCCATCTTTTTTCTCAGAAAACAAACACCAACGAAAAATTTCAACTTCAGCAA